TGGGAATTGAAGTCCACTCATCTTAAAGTGGCCAGGTTTGGACAACACTGATGTACGCAAATGCCCCTGCTGAGAAATGCTGGCTGGGAAATTCTGGGAATTGAAGTCCACTCATCTTAAAGTGGCCAGGTTTGGACAACACTGATGTACGCAAATGCCCCTGCTGAGAAATGCTGGCTGGGAAATTCTGGGAATTGAAGTCCACTCATCTTAAAGTGGCCAAGTTTGGACAACACTGGCGTACATAATTGTCCAGTTGCTTAAGACAAGTAGAGGATCTCTACCCTATTTCAGACTATTTGCCCAACCTGTTTACCTTCCCCTGTAATAAATTCAGCTGGCTTTAAAACAGCACTGCCTGGGTAATAAGAAGAACAGACTGGAGATTTGCAGCAAGCAACCAGTTCCATGAGCCATTGGCAAAGACAATTGGAGTGAGCCCACTTTGAAAGGCTGGAGAAGGAAAGTTGTTTAGTTATTGGACTGTTCATTCACTAGTTTAATAAAAAGTTGCTACTATTCCTGTGTCTTTACTATTGATGTGCCTGTATGTTGTTTCCTAATGTTATAAGTAAAACCTGCAAAAAGTTCACAATTAGAGGTGGGTCATTCCTTTTCTTAATGGATGCTGAGAACTCTCTGGGTTGGTGGAAAGATTGGCAACAGGGTTATGGAGAATACATTCTGTAAGGTCTGGAAGAGATCTTGCTCTATCTTCTCTACCTTCTCTATGGGGAAGCAGCTTCTGACCCCAGAAATGGCGTCAGTGTTATTGTTGTGGCGACACACATTAAAGATTGTTGAGAATGTGAAAATTGGGAGCATTCTCATTCTTTGCCAAAAAAAAAAAAAAGTGGTAACTTTAATCATTGCATAAACAGTGTTTATTTAAGTTGATTTTATACCTGTACCCAGAGCTCCTCACTTCTTAGTTAGTACACTGTCTCCTCATACAATGACCAACAATTGTTTCTGGTAAGAGACCATAAAAATTGGCAGAGACGTGTAGCAGACATGACTTGTAACATGACTCTAACTTGCTATTACAGCTTAACACTTTCATTTCCCATTGAACAGTACCTCTGCTTTCTTTTTGATGACATGTTAGAAATGATTTATGGGACTGTACTTTAAGAATGCATATGAAATGCAAACATTGGAAGACTTTTCTAAAATATTATAAAAGACAATATACTTATGTGTTTAAGTGTTTGTGTAAGGTTACAGTATAAGTTTGGTTTCTACAGTATAAGTTTGGTTTCTTGGAAATTCTGGCTTTGCACAAGTACCAATTTTATTATAATTTTATGTCACTTCATATGTAAATGTCTCAATATAAATTATAGGGTATACATGCTTAGTATCTAGTGCAAATGTATTTGCTTCTATTCAGACATCAATCATATCCACAAATTATACAAGTTGATATTTAACTTTAAGATATGAAGCAGGAGTGTCTTTCTTTAGCTTTTATTCTTTGGTAATCTGGGGAAACCATGTAATAAGTGAAAAGATCAGACATCATCAGCTAATATTAATGTGGTGTTAGATTCTCTAAATGCTGTCTTGTTTAAATCACAAGTGCATACCTGAAAGCAAGGTTTTGCTACATTATTTTCTGAGGCTTGGAAAAAGTGAGTTCCTATCTCATTGTACATTCATAAAGCAGTATTAAAATGTCCATTTTTCCCATCTCTCTCCATTCTGAGTCCTCTGTACAAGTGAAATAAGAGAAAGCTCCTTTGTTAAATGTTTTAAGAAGATTAAGATTGACCTTTTTAATATTGCTTTTAGCTTAGGTTATTTATAACCCTTTGAACACATTCAGTGCCTTCAGAGATTTGCACACGTGTCAGTTGTGTATGAAATTATTTTGTATCATGATATATTTTAGGAGACATCATCCAGTGAAAAATGTGAGTTCAGAGATTGTTGCTTTCCCATGACTACTAAAAGGCAGCAGTTTTATATATGCTTACTTCCAGTTCATTTCCAAAATGCATAGGCATGGCTAGGATTGGGCTCTAAATGCCCAAACCCTGATTGCATGCTTCATTCTATATATGCTTTTCTTGTAAAGGAAGCATTTTATCTTTCACATAAGTTAAGGTTCTTCCAATTTTTCAATAATAAAAACACTTTCTAAAATGATAAAGAGCACATAGGAGTTCATAGAACGGAAAAATTGGAACTGTGAGATCATTTAGTCCAGCCCCTTGTCCAGGGCAGAAATCCACTACTACAACAACCCTGGCAGGTGGCCATCCAGTCTTTGTTTAAACACCCCCAGTAATTTGATTTGATTGAGATTGAGAAGATCAGTGAAGGATAAAGAGGTTCTCAGTGTAAGATAGACTATTTTTGGTGATGTTGAGAGCGTAGAGTATGGAGTAATGTTAATGATGTATGGTGGAATTCTGAAGAAGATAAGAAAAAATCGAAGTGAATAAGAAAAAATGCATATAAGGGGATGGTTGCTGCAAAAAAGAGGATGAGAGAAAGATGGTAGTAAAAGAAGACAATGCATTGTTAAGATTGAAAGAGGCAGAGAAAATGGAGAGGAATTTTGATGGAAATAAAGAGTTGTTTGGGAAGTAAGTAATATGGAACTTCCAGCAGTGGGAACGGAATTAAAAAATTTAAATGATGAAATTATTTGGGACCTCAGTAAGGTGAAAGAATGCTGGGAGGAGTTCATAGATTTCTGACACATGATTTAGTCTTGTTTTGGTCTCTTTTTGAAAGAATATTGTAAAATATATAAGCAGATGTCTGGGTAAAAGTTTTCAAGTTAGAGATTTCAATGTTATTTTGAATCATGTTCCAAAATTGTGGAATCTAAACATTTCAAGGAGTATTGGTTATACCAGACATGGGGAATAGCCAAGAGACTTATATTGAGAGAGGGGGAAAAAAAATTACTATTACTCCAGATATCAAAGATTGGATTCAAGAAATGTATAATTTATCCAATTTTGAAAAGGCTCTTTTATCTATTAATCAAAAAATGACACAGACTTCATAATGTTTTACACAACTAAACCAGTTTTTATGCACAATGTGCATGATTAAATGAATATTTTGGTGGCTTGTGTTAATTGGGTATATTAGGGGGTTTTTTAGATTTTTTTTCTGTTTATTACACTTTCTATCTTTTTCTCTGTTTTAGTACTATAATTTCAAAATTAATTTTTATTTGTTTCTGTATATAATTTTTTCTGTATTTCTCTTTTGAAAATCGTATTTTAAAAAAATTAAAGATTTGTGTGGGAGTTATAGTGCTGTGTGAAAGAGTGAAATTGAAACAAAAGCTGTAAGTAAACAAAAGTTTACAGTTAGTGTAAAGTACAATAGTTAGTGTAACTGGTGCACAAGATGGATCTTTGAAAAGGCCCTCTTGGCAAGAGCTACCAGCTGCTTGTTGAGGTATGAGCCGAAGAGAGTGCACCAGTCTCACCAGCCTGTTGCACACCTGTCTTAAATGGGAAGTTGCAGCCCCATCCAAGACTAAATATGGAGAGTCCCCAGTACCAGGAGGGCCCAGAATTGTAAGTTTGCAGATATAAATGGTGTAACTGGAAAAATGTTAAAAGATAGATGTTGTGTGCTTATACAATGGCTGTGTAACATGTTTAAAATATTTGTAAAGACTGCATCTGCATTTGATAAGTGAAAGAATGCCATTATTGTTCCCCTGTACAAAGGTGAGGTTAAAAGGCAGTGTATTGCTGTTATAGAAGCAAGGATGGTTTGCAAGGATAGAAAGGAATGGAGAGGTATAGTGAAGGATGTAAACTAGATGTAGCTGTATTTCTTTTTTGTTTTTTATCTTATCTCATTACTTTTAATTTCTTTGGCTTACTATTCTTTACCCCTTTTCTGTATTCCCCATAATATCATGTAAATACTATTATACAAAGTGTGTAATGTATGTTTAGCTGGACAATCTATAATGAACAACAGAAAATTGTCCATTTTGTTTTGGTTTAAAACTTGCCATTACTACTAAAAACCACTTTGACATTGAAAGATGGGCAGCTTGATTATCTGAATTATAGAGATGAGTGGGTTCCAGTCCAGTCTGAATCTGGAATTATGGTTTTAATCTGAGACATAAGCATTTCCAGGAGAGACTCCAAAACTAATTCTTTAGAGTAATTCTGAACCTGTTGTGGAAATTCATAAAAGGTTTAGTGACCTACCTTCCACTCTCCACCAAAAAGATGTCTGTCATCTGTTAGATTATTCTGTTCCATAGAGCTTCAGGGCACAAGGTACCAGCCATTAGCAGTTGTCCAGGCACTGTCAGTTTTCAAGGTTGGTTTACTGCTATATGAAGTCTGGTAAGGTTTTTTTAACAAGTTTTTATGATGTGCTGATTTTATGATTGTGTTTTATTATGTTGTGGGCCATCTCGAGGTTTGTATGGAGACAGCATATGAATTATGGACATAAAAATAAATTAAAGTAAATAAACAATCCAAAACTCAAGGTGCATTCTGTTTCATTTCAAGGGAACACGATAAGGATCCTGAAAGTTTCTTTAAAGTGCTGATGAAACTGAAAGAAATGGAACTGAATTTTCATGTATCTGTCCTTGGAGAAACCTTCACTGATATTCCAGGTATTGATTAGGCTTAGTCTGTGAGATGTATGTATTTACATAGGTATTTTTTATGTTTTTTGCATTTACAAATATTACAATTCAAGAATTATTTTTTTTCAATCAAAGTGAGCAGCTGGAATGTCAGCAGAAAAATAAAACAAATAATAACAATTAACTATAGTTTTAACTGAAAAATTAAGGCTGCTATCTTGTAAATCTCATCCTGGAAAGAAGACCCACTAGATTTAACTTCTGATTATTTGTCCAATTAATTGTCTCAATCTTTTATTTTTAAAATGAGTCCCACATTTGTGATGGAATTTCATATGTTTAGATAGATACACAAACATTCAGAACAGAAAAACAGTGAACCCTGTTTTAAGATGGGACATGCTTCAATAAAAAATAATGTATACAATTAAATTTTAGAGAAGAGAAATGTAAAAGAATGAATATACATAGGCAGATAGTAAGACATGCAGCAATTACAGAGAAAATGTTATTATGTCTATATAATTACATGTCTTGTAAAGATTGCTATATGTACCATTAAGAACAATATAACTCTTACTACAATTTATTAGAAAACAGTAAACAGTCAGGAAAAATTCCTATACAGTGGTACCTCGGGATACGAACTTAATCCGTTCCGTGACTCTGGGCGTATCCCGAGTTGGTCTTAACCCGAAGGAAATTTC